CCAGGGCGGGGGGGAGAGAATCCTAGAACCGGAAGGAACCTGGGGAGGACGTCAAGCCCAGGCCCTGCCCGCACAGCAGGACCAAGCACTGCAGGAGAAAGAAGGAGCCTGAGGCATGGGCCTGGTGCTTGAATTAGTCAGCAGGAGTTACACTCTGAGGAACAGACAGGCCGTGCCAAAAGCAGATGTCTGCCAGCACAGACGGGCGGGGGGGAGAGAATCCTAGAACCGGAAGGAACCTGGGGAGGACGTCAAGCCCAGGCCCTGCCCGCACAGCAGGACCAAGCACTGCAGGAGAAAGAAGGAGCCTGAGGCATGGGCCTGGTGCTTGAATTAGTCAGCAGGAGTTACACTCTGAGGAACAGACAGGCCGTGCCAAAAGCAGATGTCTGCCAGCACAGACGAAAGCGCGTGCGATGCATAAATACCTTCCACCAGGACAGCAGAAGCACAGCCCAACCGAGTACATAATAAAAGAGTTCAAACCATGACAGTACAAGCACGACAACGGCGTGACGTAGTGGGGGTGCCTTGCTGGCTGCTGGGCTTGGGCTGTGAGTGACCCCCACTGGCTGCAGCACGGCCCAGCAGGGCAGGGGATGAGTCATCATGCAAGGGGGCTCCGGACCTGTCTGACCAGTGATCTCCCAGGGAGCGGAACAATGGGAAGAAGGGGAGTGGAGCCCTGGCTGGGGGCAGGGCTGGAAGGGAGGGAGTTAGTTTCTGTCTGGGAGCATGGAGGAGACAGCCTAGGGCAGTGGTCTCCAGCCTTTTTACACCCAAGATCACTTTTTAAATCTCCGAACAGGTGAAGATCTACCGCCCCGCCCCTTTCTATTCTCCTCCTGTCCATCATTTGCTATCCCCAGCCCTTACTTACACACTCTGCTAAACAGTTTTTTTAAATTATGCGATGTATAAAATTAAAATCACATGTTTATAGTTATGAAATAAATGGTCTTTTTTATTCATGCTATTTAAATCTAAAATGAAGCATTTATAATTATACATTTTGTAGGGACAGAGTTCTGCTGCTGGGGGCAAGGGAGAGGGAACAGGGTGCTGGAAGGGCAGAGGACAAGGTTCTGCAGCAAGGGACAGGGTGCCAGTGGGGACATGTTTCTGCAGCTGGGGACAGGGTGCCAGTGGGGACAGGAATAGGGACAGAGCTCTGTAGGGCAGGGGAGTGGGGTGCCAGTGGAGGCAGAGAGTCCCCTGTATCTGCCTCCTCCCAGGATTCCCCCACCCCGAGGGAAACCAGCGCGTGCCTGCCCCAGGGGCCGACACTCCCCCCCGGCGCAGGGAAACCCCACGCGCACCTGCCCTGGGGCTGACTCACCCCTCCTCTGCCGTGCAGGGAGTCGATGCTCCCTCCCTCAGTACACCCAGCAGAGCAGCTAGCGCTACTTCTGGAATCGCTGGAAGTGGTGCTAAGCTGCGGGACTTCTGTCCATCCCCGGGAAGCCGACACTACCTCCATTTTCATTTGAGGTAGGTAGTGGGACTTCTCGGGAGTGGGAGGGAATGGGGGCGGGGCGGACAGGACGCCTCGCGATCGACTGGTCGAGGCCTCGCGATCGACCAGTTGATCGTGATCAACCTGTTGGTGATCACGGGCCTAGGGAAAGGGGCTGGAATTTAGGGGCCAGTCTCCCCCATCTCAAGGGGGGCTGAGGCATCCTAGGCCTGCCCTGGAATTAGACTACATCTGTGCTGTATCCTGGAGAATCAATAAACTCCCTCTATTCTACTGGCAAGGGGAATCTGTCCGTACCATTACGGGGGTGCAGGAGACGGGAAAACCCCAACATGCTGTCACAAACGGGCAGTGACTAGGAATGCTCTGGAGGAAAGTACCGGGGGGTACTAAGCGTGTCATTAATGCGTAGGATGATACGTACAGCGTGTATCCTAGATTGTTTATAAATCTTGGGGTACCTCCACGTAACATTTTGACCAGCCTAGGGGCCAACAGTGAAATCCATACTATGAATTAAGCCATGTCTATTGTTAAAGGTACAAACACGTAGGGGCTTGGAGGCCATTTAATTACGATGACTATTAATACACTTCGTTCAACAATAAATCTGACTCAGGTGCCTTTGTATTTTATTTGCGTCTGTGGTCTTTGGGGGCTCTCGTGAAATCTACTACGCTAGCTTCCGGTGTAAATACTAAATACTGTGTAAGTGCTTTCTGTGTACTAAAGAAACATAAAAAGGCACGCAGCCGAACATTTATTGTCACAAACAAAGCAAAACACCTATCAAAATGCCACACCAGTAACCCTTAAACTTACCGCATTGCTGTCCTAACCTACAAATGCCATCTAGCACTCCCGGACAGGTGTCTGCCTAACCTGTTCATCAATATCTCCAGTGATGGAAATTCTATAACCCTCCAGGCAATTTATTCCAGTGTTTGACCACCCTGGCAGTTAGGAAGTTTGTCTTAATGTCCAACCTAAACCAGAACTAGACACAGGACTTCAACTGAGCTAACCAGCGCAGAGCAGAGCGGGAGAATGACTCCTCGTGTCTTGCTCAACACTCCTGTTAATACTGCCCAGAATGAGATTTGCTTTTTTTGTAACAGTGTCACAGATGGTATGTCTAGACTACACCTCCATGACGACAGAGAGATGTAGATTAGGCACGTCGAAATTGCTAATGAAGGAGGGATTTAAATATCCCGCACTTCATTAGCATAAACATGGCTGCCACTTTTTTTCAAAACGGAGCTTTTTTAAACCCCCCCCCCCCCCCCGGCAGTCTAGATGGAGATCTTTTGAAAAAGAAACCCTTTTTCGAAAGACCCCGTATTCCTCAAAAAATGAGGTTACAGGATCTTTCGAAAAAGGGTTTCTTTTTCAAAAGATCTCCATCTAGACTGCCGGGGGGGGGGGGGGGAGGTTTGAAAAAGCCCCTTTTTGAAAAAAAGGGGCAGCCATGTTTATGCTAATGAAGTGCGGGATATTTAAATCCCAACTTCATTAGCAATTACAACTTGCCTAATCTACATATCTCTGTCGACAGAGAGGTGTAGGCTAGACACAGCCAGACTGTCAGACAATTAAGAACAGCCACTACCAACTGTGCAAATTGTCATGGCCACAAGGTCAGAGGATGCCTTCGGCTCCTGCTTTAATACTAGGGGTACGTCTAGACTACAGGCCTCTGTCGACAGAGGCTTTGTCAACAGACACTGTCGACAAAGAGCGTCTAGACTACAGCCAGTTCTGTCGACAAAGCAAGCTACTTTTTCGACAGAGTCCAGACGCTCTCTTTTGACAAAGCACAGTGTGGCTGCAATAGCCTCTATTGGCGACAGAACTGTTGACAAAAGGCGTTATTCCTCGTAGAACGAGGTTTACCACCATTGACAAAACTGCCGCGTTCTGTCGACTTACTGTAGACAGAACTCAGCGTTAGTGTAGACACAGGTATAGTTTTGTCAACAAAAGTCCACTTTTGTC